GACCTGGCCCCAATCCGGGGTTACTTTGTTGCTTACTTGTCAGGACTGAGGCAAGGCAGAACTGCTTTTGCAATGAAGTGGCGCTTGCAGAGCTCCAAACCAGTAGCAGCAATCCACCACCATTTGAACAAATCGCATGGTCAGCCCAACTGGTGACCCTGCCGGGGCCCTTTCAAATGGTGTGGTGTCATTTTTGGGTTGCTGAGCGTGTTGTTCTAATGAAACGCCCCTTAAAACGCTGAAAAGCAGTTCCCCCACAATGTAGTTGGGCGTCCTACACCAAAACGTTCTAATCCGTAAACCGCGCAATCCGTAATCCGCTAATCATTGGGGATTAGGTTTGGGACAGGTTAGAATTTGACAGAGGCGGTTCTGCATAAACACCTGTTTTCACATTTTGGGTCCAAACGAGCTTAAAACCCCGGACAACCCCCCGGACTTTGAGGGCCCAAAATCGGCGGGACAACTCTCCGGACAAACCCCCGGACAACCCTCCGGACAGCTTTGAGGGCCCAAAAGCCCGGGACAAACCCCCGGACAACCCTCCGGACAGCTTTGAGGGTCCAAAAGTCCGGGACAAACCCCCGGACAAACCCCCAGACAACCCTCCGGACAGGTTTGAGGGCCCAAGAACCCGGGACAAACCCCCGGACAAGTCTTCGGACAGGTTTGGAACACGCCAAAACCACTCGGAAACCACTCGGAAACCACTCGGAAACCACTCGGAAACCGCTCGGAAACCACTCGGAAACCAGTCGGAACCCGCACAAAACCACTCGGAAACCACTCGGAGGGAAGTATTCTCGCGGGATTTGCAGCAGAAATCTCGGCAAAGTGCGCGGACAACCCTCCGGACAACCCTCCGGACAACCCCCCGGACAACTTGCCGGACAGTTGTTTGTCCAGCAGTTTGTCCCGCACTTTGTCCGGCACTTTGTCCCGCACTTTGCCCCGCACTCTGTCCCGCATATCGAGGGGGGTGTTTATGCAGAAGGGCATTCGTCAAGGTAGAATCATCACTAAAAAAGACGAAAATGGATGGTGCACGGCGGATGTTCGGATATGACCAAGGTTGCTGGGGCAACGGGACCTGGGCCATCAAATTGCCCATAAACGTGGGAGTTACCAGCCATTTTGGGGCGATAACCAGTCTTAACGGGCATTTTGTGGGTTCAGGCACCGCTTGTTTCACTTGGATGTTCAACCTATGTCAAGTAAGTAGCTGGGCACTTCCAACTCGATCCTTAACTCATAGTTTTCTGGAAAAGTGTCGAGTTGTGATTTTGCTTGAAGCGCCGCATTTGAACCCTCAAAGTACCCTTTTAAAATCATGATAGCCACATGGGGCGAATTAAAGGTGGTTGCAATTCAGGGAACCAAGCACTAGCGGATAGCCCTGGAATTCGCGAGAACTGTGCTGGAAAGCTGCATTGGCGAGTTTTTCACCGGAGAGCAGGTAACTGAGCGCAGTTCACCCCCGACGGTTTCTGCAAGATAAACTCCCAGTTCCAGCCACTAGAGTCAGAGTCACCTTTTGTTAACCCAAGAAACCGCACAACACAGTGGCTGCTTTCCTCCAAAAAAGGGCTTGCCTGGGATTCGCTTTCCTCGATGGGCTTGGGATTCATTGGGAGACTTGGAGCAATTCTTTTTGCGCGCGTTGAGTTTGTCCTCACGTTTCTTCTGTATCCAGATGTTGTACGGAATGCCTCAAAAAGGCCAACCAAAAGTCCAAACTTTTGGTTTGACACTCAAATGGTGCTGGGCGCTCCGCTCTTATCCTCAGCACGGAGGTGATGCGCAAACAGCTCGTGAGCTCTCTGACGGTTTCCTGCCCGTGCAGGCTTGGTCCCGTCTGCGAATGAGCGGGCGCAAGAAGTATCTTTGTCAGTGAGTTCTGCTCGATGTTGCTTTTTTCTTGAGCTATTTAGATTGATGGCCTCAACACTCGAAGGTGGAAAGGCAAACTCTAGGCTTGTCAGCAGGGCTTGGATAGTGTCTTCAGACAAGGTCATACATTCCAGGAACGGTGAGGTTGGGCAGCTGGGCCTGGCAGCAAGCACGGCGTGTCGGACTATCAGGTGAGCATGGCTACACACATACTTTACATTACTTTTTTTAACATTGCATCACATTACATTACATAACATGCAATGACATTACATTACAATTACATGAGATTGGATTACATTACATACATACATACACACGCACGTACATACATGCATGGCGGTGCTGTGTGCTGTGTTGCTGCCAGTTGCTGCTTGCATGTGTGTGTTGTCCTCCACAGACAGCTGGCAGGAACCCGCTAAGCCAGAAGGTCACAAGCTTGGGCGCAGGTCTCTGCGTGTGTTTATGTGCGTGAGTGCGTGCGTGCGTGCTTGCGTGCATGCGTGAGTGAGTGAGACAGAGAAAGAGAGAGAGAGAGAGAGAGAGAGAGAGAGAGAGAGAGAGACAGAGAGAAAGAGAAAGAGACAAAGACAGAGAAAGCGAAAAAAAAGAGGATAAGGAGAACAACAAGCTACTACAAAAAAAGCGGTCCGTTTCAGGGGGTCACCCCACACCCAAAGGGATACCCAACAGAACGGGGGAGAGAGAGAGAGAGAGAGAAAAAGAGAAAGAGAAAGAGAAAGAGACAGTTTTCGGAGCAAGTTCTCTTCGTTCCTCGCCAAAGTTCTCTGAGCAAAGTTATCTTTGCTAAGTCTCTTCGTTGGGTTTGTCAGGGGACACCACCCCCAAGCTCATTGCTCAACTTCTTAAGCAAGTTCTGTGAGCAAGTTCTGTGAGCAAGTTCTCTGAGCAAGTTCTCGTTGTGCAGTCTCTGCGGTAGATTTGGGGACACCACCCCATTGCCCAAGTTTTCTCAGCAAGCTGTCTGAACAAGTTCTCTTTGTTAAGTCTGCCGTGGGCTTGTCAGGGCACGCCACTTGAAATGGGTTACAGCCCCCCCTCGCCGCCTGAAGCGAGTCATGAACAGTTCGCAGAGCCGTGGCCCCCCCGGACCCTTTCACGCCGAACGCGCTCACTTCCCCCAGCT